TATTTTTATACCATTATTCTGCCTATCTACTGTATTGACCTTTGCTGAGGTCTTCTTTTCTGGTACTACGATCGCACTAGATTTTGCTTTTGTACGTGCGCCATCCTCTTCTACCCTAATGTGCTGATGCACTCTCTCCATCAGGGCCTCCATGGTGAGGGTTGGCATCATGGTAATTGAATCCCTTAGTCGGTTCCCTACTGGTAGGCCTCTTTTATATTGCGCAATGGCTAGATTGGTGGGGCAGTCTCCAATCTGGTTGAATGTCTCCCAGTAGCGACTGTTGTAAGATCTGAGGGTCTCTTTTTCACCCATGTCGATGGAGAGTAACTGGTCTATCTCCACTGGTGTTTTAGTATTTGTCCGAAACCTCGTTACGAACGCTTCTGCCAATTGGGCCCAGGAGGGTATGCTGCCCTCTGGAAGCTTTTCGAACCAAGTCAAGCCTAGGTCGCCCAGACTTGATGGGAAGAGTATGCACATTAAGGCCTCGTTTCGCCTGTACACAGCCATGACTTGGCGAAAGTGGCTCAGGTGTGAATATGGGTCCGTCTTCCCTTCATATGTATTGAATTTCGGCTGAAGGAAGCCTGATGGTAGGGGCGCGTTTTCGATCGCTGAGACAAACGGCGAGGTCTGTAGTCTTGCCAATGCCTTGTCCGTTGGTTCGTAGGCCGGTCGCGGTATTGGCATTCCAACCTCGACGCTTCCGTGCGTCCGAGGAGCCAACCGTTGTAAGGCCGAAACTCAGTGTGGATCCCTTGCCCTGGCATCTTCCTTGCATCGTGCTTTTTTTTCTAGCACGGTTCGTAAGTCGGATGACCTGGGTAGCTCGGTTTGTCTGCATCTGGTTTGGTGTGAATGTGAAGGCCAATACGTGCTTCCTTCAGTGTATGATCTTTCGGATCTCGTCCTCTCAGACCTGGAGTGACGAGTCCTTGAAGATAAGGAGTGAGCGTCGCCTGTCCTGAGGCTTCTGCTCTCTCCTTGGGAGGGTGTAGTATTCCTACTACGACTCTCTGAGTGGCGAGGGGGCGTCTTGTGCTTGCGCCCCTCTCCTGTCGCCACATCTTTGGTCTTCATCTGGCGTTTCAAGGCCTCCATGTCCGCCGCCATCCTTCGAATTAGTTCATCTTGTTCCTTCACGCGATCTTCCAGGGCTTGGGGATCAATCCTCCTCCTTTGCCTGTCAGGACTCTGAGAATGTCGAGGGCTGCTATTCCGCCTTCCCCTGCCACTCCTCCTGGAATTATGTTGTTGGGGCTCCAAGTCCGCCATGGGAGGGACAGATGGTAATCCTTCACGCCTTGCGCCCCCCTCTGGAGTTAGTCCGTCGACGGCGGACTGCGGCAAGTCTTCAATGTGTGCCATTGAATGAGAAAATGAGAAGCTTAGTCAAGAGGTTTTTCTTCTTGTCTGTTATTCCCACAGACGGCGCCAATTGTACGGGGAGGAAATAATTCTCCTCGTATAATCCTGTTGACCAAGTCCACGCTCCTCCGTACGACGTCGCTTTGTCACCTGAAAACACAAACGTGAGCTAGCCGGCGGGTGTGTGCCGGAAACCTCTCCGATGCCTAAGTCAGTGGGCTTGACAAATAGACAAACCTCTATGTGCTCTAAGTTTTCAGAAAGATTGTGTTCAATTACCTCCTCCAAGGTGATGCTTGTGAGCCTTTATAAGTTTCCGTGGCACAATCCTAGTAGGACTTGTACTTCTCCATGCAGAGTCCTCCTAGGATTCATTCTCCTAAGGATAATGCTTATCCTTTTACACCCTCCCCCACTGCTTAAACCAAGTGGGATGGTTTTCTTTATGGCCGAACTTCCATTTGACCGAAGTAAAATTGGCTATACCGAGCCACAGAGGGCCGAACTATCCTTAGCTCGGTCTTCTCCTCTAACTCATTACTTCGGCTGTTCTGTTCAACCTTGACGTACTTAGATCAAACTTCCAAGTAACAAGTTCTGACCGACCTAACCATTGTAAGTCACGACCGGACTAACTCCGAAACCGGCCTTCTCAGAACATACTGTGACTGGACTAACTCTGAGACCGGCCTAACTGTGAGTTGCCTCCAGACCGGAGTAGTTTTACTCTTCCTTGGGGCGAAGTAACTTTGTCTTCCCAAGGCCGGAGTAACTTTGCCCTTCTGGGCCGGAGTATCTATTGCGGCCTTCTTACTTAGTCCTTCGCGTTTTGGGCCTCAATGCCCAACTCGCAGCTCGGCCCAATTTTTCTCAAAAATTACCCTCTCAAGATGTTAACTATAAAAATCCATTTTTCTGGATAATTTAATAATTTTCTGAAATAGTTCATATAATAGGCTAATCACCACTCTTGATTATTACAATTTTAATAAATACAACAAAAATAATCCAAGAGTCTCAATAAGTAACCAATTACTTAATAGAAGTCCTAAAAGGACACTACTACCTAGTCTTGGTTTCAAATTGGAATGAAGTGAATTTTATATCATTGAAAATATTTTTAAAATGGTTTTGGTAAATTTAAAAATTTAGGAAGTTTCCATGTAAAATTGCCTATGAAATCCAAATTCACCTTTGGGTTTAGAAGTTTCATATGAGGCTCAAATAAATCGTAAAGAGACTTACCATGGCTTTATGTTTGCGAAGGTTCTCTTGATCCAGATGTAGTATTTTGAACCACTTCAAGAATTTCTCGCAGCTTGGATCGTTTCCAGCTTTTAACATTGGCCAATAATCCAATGATGGACTTCAACTATTATAGCTAGTTAAAATGTAGTGTATACACTTACATGAATACTGTTTACATAAATCTCACTGGCTTATGGTACTTGGAAATGTTGTAAATTTAACTAGAAAAATATAACATTTTTTCATAAGTAAATTTTAGTTATACAATTGAATTAATTTTTTTGCAAAAAAAATAAAAATAAAAATTAATTTTTTCTCTAATGATGTTATAGGGAGATGTAAAGATCATGAAAGAAATGGGTCTAGATGCTTACAGATTCTCTATCTCATGGTCCAGAGTATTACCACGTAAGATGATCAATTATACAGTTTCTTTAAATGTTGTCAAATATGCATTATATATACATGGAAGAAGGGTCCTATCTAAGAACACAAGCAAATGAAACCACAATTGTGACAAAGAATATGTGGAAAATGGGCTCAAATGAAGGTGTAAAAAGAAAGTGAGACGCAAAATGAGATTATAATCATTTGATTTGAGTAATCCTTGGCATTTAACAAAAAAGGGAAAAAAATTTGATAGAAGTTATGAACTAGGATGATCCAATCAGTGGTTACCGTACTTATTTATTTTATTTTTTTACCTATATTTGCATAATTTTTGGATGATACTTGTAATATTTCTAGGTGGAAAGCTAAGTGGTGGAGTGAACAAGGAAGGAATCAAATATTACAACAACCTTATAGATGAGCTCTTGGGAAAAGGTTATGATTCAACTCAATGATGTCATCATTAACCAAGTTCATATAGTAGTAGCAATATATTTGCATAATTTTTGGATGATACTTGTAATATTTCTAGGTGGAAAGCTAAGTGGTGGAGTGAACAAGGAAGGAATCAAATATTACAACAACCTTATAGATGAGCTCTTGGGAAAAGGTTATGATTCAACTCAATGATGTCATCATTAACTACCTTGTTTGATTTATATAGAGTTCTCCTCAGAAGGAAAATTTTGAATTTCCATAAATTTCTAACCAAGTTCATATAGTAGTAGCAATTTTAAAATTATAATTCATATTGATGATATTTTTTCTTAGTGTGATTACCCAAAATTTTCATATATATACATATATATTCTCTAGCATCTCTCTCCTCATAATTATCTTATCTTCTTATGCTGACATTCGTAGGTATAAAGCCTTTTGTGACCCTTTTCCATTGGGATCTTCCCCAAGCATTGGAAGATGAGTATGGGGGTTTCTTAAGTCCAAAAATTGTGTAAGTAAAGATATATTCATCTAATGATTCAATTTTTTAGCTAGTCAATTTGTGATATTTGTATATATTGAAACTAGATAGAGCGTATGAAAATTCCCTAATTTTATTTTTAAATTAAATTGTTGGTTCATACTGAATATATATATATATATATAGATATATATAAAGGGAATAAAGCAAATTGCTTTTTCTCTTATAGTTTTGAGATGGTTAATCTCTACATTTAAAATCAAAATATGTTCTTAATTGTTGAGTTTTTGTTTTTCACCTTCTTTGTTTTTGATGGTTGTCAAATGGTATATTTAAGTCAAACTAGGGTGAGCAGTTGAATCCTTTATTTTCATCGCAAAGCCTTGCAATGAGATAGCTCAATTTATTTTTTAAGAATTAAAAAATAAAAATCATAAAATTTGATAAAAAAAATTTAGATTACTGTACCCCAACGGACATGGGATGCCTGCTGCACCGCCGGGATGATGTACTCCAAAAACGGCACCGTTTTGTTTTTGCTCTGTTTCTTTTTTTTTCTTTTTTCTTTTTTCCTTTTAATTGTTTTCTTTGTTTTTCTTTTAATTGTTTTCTTTGTGCGCTCTATGTATGGCATTTTTTTCACTTTTGACCTTTAATTTTTTATTTTTTTTTTGTGAATTACACTAATAGTCCCTATAGTTTGGGACTTGTGTCACTTTGATCCATGACTTTTTAATTGTGACACATTTGATTATGAATTTTGAATCTTGTTCTAAATAAAGACAATTGAATATATCATTAGATTTTTCAAGGGTAAAATCGTTAATTTGATAAAATATAAACTAATTTGACAAAAATAAATGTCAAACAAATATTTTTAAATTTTTAAAAATTATTTCTACCCACTAAAAATAAAATTATGTAAAATTGATAATTTTTTTAGACATTTATTTTTTTTGCCAAATTAATTTTTATTATGTGTTTGAATGATGATCATGTAAAATTAATTTTTAAAATTATTTTTATTAATTTTTATCAATTTTACATAATTTTATCATTGGTGGATAAAAATAATTTTTAAAAAATTTAAAATATTTTTTTGACATTTATTTTGGTCAAATTAGTTTATATTTTATTAAATTGACAATTTTGCCCTTGAAATTAAATAATGGTATCTTCAATTGTCTTTATTTGGAACAAGATTCAAAATTCAGAGTCAAATGTGTCATAATTGAAAAGTCAGGGACCAAAGTGACACGAGTCCCAAATTATAGGGGCTGTTAGTGTAATTTGCCCCCCTTTTTTATTTATTTATTTATTTATTTATTTTTTGCACTTTGCTCTACATGCTTTAAGTTTTTGTTCAAAATTAAACAAAAAATGTTACGTTAATTGACACATGATAAAAAATATATTATTATAATTGAGTTTGGATTTATATTAAATGTGTGAGTTACATATAATAAAATATTTTAATGTCACATGACTGTTAATATATCATTATATATATATTTTTGGACAAAAGTTAGCTTTTAGAGTATTAAAACAAATTTAAAAAATTGAAATATGAAGAGCCAAAGTGAGGGATAAAATTTAAGGAAAAAAGTGAAAAAAATGACCAAACTTAAAGGGACAAAATGTATTTACCTTAATTGTACACTACAAATTTAAATTATGAATGTATTTCTTAGTACATAGTATTTTTTTTTAAATACACTAAAAGATATGCATAATTAAAAATGCACAAATCATATTATCTTGAATGTTGCACACTAAATTTAAATCTGCACCATACAATTTTTTTTTTTTTAATAGTTGCACTACATATTCAAATTTTGAATAAATTTCAAATAGTTTTTTAAATATTATTCTTAGTACACTACATTTCTTTTAATCTATTTGTAATCTTTCTTTATAATTTAATTTTCTTACTGTATAAAAAATTAGGGTCATATTAATGACAATTTAAGAAATTTTAATAAGAAAAAGAAAGCCTCAAAAAATTTAAAATTTCAATACAATTTTTACATATATCATTTTTTTTTTTTTTACATATCTAATAATATTACACAAAAAAAGTAGGTGTAAATTTAAACATAGTGTGGTGTAAGGTATATTCAAAATGAATATAGTTCATAAATTTTGAATTCTAAATACTCTTTTTTCTTTTTCTTTTTTTTTTTATATTTACAATAATATTATGCACCAAAAAAAGTGGTGTAAATTTAAACTTTTACTATTGTGTAAAAAAGTTGAAAAGTGGCTATGTATGTGGAACCTTTCATGAGAAATGGAACCAATGCATAGTTATTTTAATTAAACAAAAAATAGGATTAAAAAAACAAAAGAAAAGAAAGCAAAACGGTGCTGTATTAGGCCACAGCACATCCTGCTGTGCTTAGTACACAATAAGGACCCCGTGTCGGACTTTAGCATCCGATGGTAACCTAGAAATGGAAGTAGTCATAGAATTGAATTATTAATCATGAAGTCCTGAAGTTAATATGTAAAACATTGTAATGTATTTGTGTCATATTCCAACATTGATGATCGACTTTATAGGGATGATTTCAAAGGCTTTGCAGAACTTTGCTTCAAAGAATTTGGTGATAGGGTGAAGCACTGGATCACCTTGAATGAGCCGTGGTCATATAGCATGAGTGGGTACGCAGTTGGTAGCTCTGCACCAGGTCGATGCTCTTCATGGCTACAATTAAATTGTACTGGTGGGGATTCAAGCACTGAGCCATATATTGTATCACACCACGAACTTCTCGCTCATGCAACTGCAGTAAATTTGTACAAGCGAAAGTATCAGGTCTCACTTGAAAACCCAAGGAAACTACATATATAATTCACATTATTATCAAAGAGTTTTGAAGTATATGCTAATTTTAATGCTACTTCCTAACCATAGTCGATGGAAACTAAAGTAATTTTATGTTTAAGAATCGATTTGCTACATATGATAAATTTTGGATACAAATATATTAGATAGTTTTGAATTACTCAAGCGATGGAAATGTAAACAGACATCACAAAAAGGAAAGATTGGAATTACACTCATATCACATTGGATGGTACCTTTCTCAGAAGAAAGACAAGACCGTACTGCTGCACTAAGGGCCCTCGATTTTATGTTAGGATGGTGAGTGTTTTATAATTTTCCTTTTTGTGATAACGCATATATGGTACTGAACAATATTGTCATAAGTAGGGTCATCAATTTATAATATGTCCTAACTATGTTTTTCCTTGTGTACTGGAGGTTTATGGACCCTCTAACAGCCGGTGACTATCCACATACAATGCGAACTCTTGTGGGAAAACGACTTCCTAAGTTCTCCAAAGAACAGTCCAAGATGTTAAAAGGATCATTTGATTTTCTCGGACTGAACTATTACACCGCTAATTATGCAGCATATGCACCAAACTCCAATAGTGTAAATGCCAGTTTTTTAACAGATTCTCAGGTTAACCTTACAAGTAAGTTCAAAGTTTTGTACCATTAATTAAAAACATTCTTATAACTTAATATGTACTAACTAGACATGATTCTTTTGTTATGCTAGCTAAGCGGAATGGGGTTCCTATCGGTGCTATGGTAAGAAGTAGAAATTTAAGCAATTCTTCTTGTGGAGCTTGTTTAAATTTAATATATTTACGAACTTGAAATCATAAAAATATTTTTCATAATCAACTCCATAACTTTACACGATCTTGCAGGCTGCTTCAACTTGGCTTTTTGTTTATCCAAGAGGCATTTATGATATTCTTCTCTACGTGAAGAAAAAATATAATAATCCTCTTATTTATATCACGGAGAATGGTAATAGAAGTAGTAGGACTGAATCACAACCACAAAAATTTCCTTCTTTTCTAATTCCATGGCATTGAACACATTGAAGATCTGGCACAGGATGAAAGTGTTGAAGATCATGGTTTTGATTACGTTCTGTTCCAGGATGTGTTTTGATTGTTGTCCTTCAAACTGAAATGCTAGCAAAATAATGGTCTGGTAAACAACTTGAACTGTAAAGTTTCTCCACATGACCTTGGTCATGATTGATTTTGTCCTTTCAGGTTGTGGTTGACGAGCCATTAGTCCCTGAGTTGGAGGCTCCGTCGTCATCATCATGCCACCTAGCATACAGACAATTAAGTTCGCCCAAACCAATTGAATTGCTGTGATTGGGGATTCTCCAAGAGACATTGTTGAGATTGATGTAATTAGTATCCCAGAAATGCAAGTAGTGAGCTGAAGTACAATGAATCTTTGAATGTTATGGTAAACACATCTACCATGCTTCAACAGTGGGAATAAAGAGGATAACCTTACTCCGGGGCCTAAAACGATAATGTCAGAGCTCTCTCTGGCCATTTCAGTGCTCTGAGCTTCCTCTGTGATCCCCACATCGGCTTCTTTTAAAACTGGAGTGTTATCTGTAGTGAATCCACCATAAAAGCCAACCACATGACCTTGTTGTTTCAAGTACCGTATCGAGCCAAGTTTATCCTCAGGGGAGGATCTTCTAAAAGCAAAAGTTTCATGAGCATCATTACTTAACTCATCCCCCATCATCAACTTGATGTTCACTCCTGCTTCTCTAAGGGAATCCATGGCTAACTTTGTTTCTTCACGATACTTAACACCGAGTATTGCTAACAAGATCAACCCATCTTCTCTAATTTCCCCAACATCTGTTTGTTTGTAAGCAAATGCGATGGGATGAAGACCATTGTCCTCCATACCTTTAATCAGTTTCTCCAACTTGCATCTCCGATTATACTCCAAGACATGGCTTGTTCCTTCACAATCATAGTAGTGTGAGCACATTCCTAATATAGTCCGTGCCAATCCTCTCCAATGCAAGAGCATAGTTTTCTCATCATCTCCATTAATCTTCCTCATTAAGACACCCCTGCCTTTCTCATTGGACCTCATTTCAACCAATTCAACCTCATAGAATTCACCACACGTGTAGCCTGATGAACCACTAGAACCTGCACAATCAGAACTTTCTTTCCTGAACTCCATTTTCCTAGACTCCACTGCCACCACATTAGCCAATTCAATCTCACTTGATTGGTCACACTTGTCACCTAATGAACCATATGAACCTTCACAACCAGAACATTCTTTCCTGGACTCCATAGCAGCGGCTTTAGCCAATTCACCACCCTCACATAAATCACCACACTCGTTGCCAAATGAACCACTAGTAGAACTTGCACAATCAGAACTTTCTTTCCTAAACTCCGTAGCGACACCCCATTCTGATTATGCCCAAGAATAGAGCAACCTATCCATTGGGCTCCATGGATATTCGGGCACAAGAATGCACACACCAATTCCTTGCTGCAAGGTTTTAAGAACAATGTGTGATAAGTTGGATTCTTCTCCGGTGGTGTTGATTTCTCTTTCACCAACCAACAACTTAACAACCTCCATCATTACTTCACCAGGCACATCAATGCAGATGACAGTGATGAAGCCGATGGTGCCATAAGCTGATAGAGTTCGAGGATTGACACCATAAGAAGATGCTACCTTTTGGTTCCAGTAAGAAAGGGAAATGGTAATGGCTAGAGAGACGCCATGTTGAAACCCAAGAACCAGTACAGTAAGAGTAGTTGTTAAAACAGAAACCAAGCTACCTTGCCGCCTCAAAAGAATTCTGTCAAACATTTCCATCAGCTTCTCAACAGTGAAGTTCCCTTTTAGTTCTGGGAGATCTATACTGTCGACATGGTTCCTACTCAAGAACCGTATGAACAACACAAGAGTGATGAGAATAGAGATACACAGTGCAATCTTATCTACATAATTGATTGACCTTTCCATTCGAGTCTGCAAAAGAGTAGTTCCATTGTTAACTTTTTTATTTTCTAGTTAAGTCTTTCTTAACTTTTTTTTTTTTTAAAAAAAAAAAAATTGAGAGGCCAAGGGGTTAGTTGTATGGATGCGAGTAGCAGTAGTAGGGGTACTTTTGTACTTTCTGAATCTCTCTCGATGCATGTCGTCTTCCTGTACCTTTAATTTCATGTTGTTAAATGAAATTTTTCTTTGCCGATCAAAAAAAAAAAAAGAGTAGTTCCATTGTTTGGATCATCCATCACCATGTTCATCAACTTTCCTATCACTGTGTTTGTGCCAACAGATGTCACAATCATGCGACCACTCCCTTTACAAACCTGTTGGATTCAAGAAGATCAGCGAGAGTCTCGTGAGTTTGTTTATCACACAAATCACCCATATGTTTGATTCTAGTGTAATAATGACAAATTACAAGATAAATTAAAGAAAAATGAACAACGCTAGGAATTTGAATTTGAAAAGTGGGTCTAACTTTTGAGTTAGAGTAGCACTAATCATCTACAACAATGCTAGGAACACAAAAGACCAAACACAAATGTCTAATTCTGTATTTGGTCCTCTATAAACTTAAGACTTACGAAAAAGGCAGGGGTGAGGTTTGGTCTTCAAATGTATTTGGTCTTCACTGGTGGGCAGGGGTGAGGTTTACGAAAAAGGCGAGGTTGATGTGGAAAGCTCTTCCTATGGTTGTTATGTGGTCTCTATGGAACCATCGCAATGAATGCTTATTTCGAGATGTTGCCCCAAGTGGGGAGGGTGTTTCTGATATGGTTAAGGTTAGGATGGCCTTTTGGTTTAAGGAGGTATATAAGGATTGCAGGTTCTCAGTGCATGATTTCATCTTTAATTTGGAGCACATTAGATCTTGCTTGGGAGATGCATACAGGGGTGTCTCATAATGTTCTTGCCTGTGTCATTAATCTGCCTTACCTGAGTTGTTCTGTTTAATCTTCTGCTTCTGCTCTGCCAATCTGCTTTCTGTATGTGTATCTGTTTCACCTGTGCTGCCAGGGTCACAGTTTGGTTTGTGTTGGTTTGTGTTCTCCAGGTTTGCAGGCTTTTGATGTGTTGCTGCAGTGTTGCAATGTGCTGGGTCTGTGAAGTTTTGTTCTGTTCTGAATTTGGAGCTGAGTGGTGGTCCTTAGCAAGTGCTGCAGCGAAGTTTTGCAGTGTTGATGCAGTGTTGCAATGGATTGTATTTTAATAGTATATGGGTCTCAGAAGATGCAGGCCATGGAATCAGTCGTGGGAGCTTAGCTTCTGGGAATGGAGTCCGGTTCAGGACCTGGCAGTCTATTGTTTGCTTCAGTATAGTGTGCTGGTTTACTATGGGGTTGTGCATTTCTGATATAGGGCAGGGATCGAAGACATAATGAGCCTCTTTATAGACTTCCAAGTTTGTTCATTTTGCTAGTCCAGTCATGGAGGAATGTCAATGGGTTGAATGCACAATGTGTTAGGTCATTGGGAGGAATGTCAACGGGTTGAATGCACATGGGTTGATTGCCAATGGGTTGAATGCCCTACAGGCTCCTATCTGGTTTTTTGGTTTTTTGGCAGCAACTTTTGTTTTTCTTTTTGTTGGTTTCTCACCAACTGGCGCTTGGAGCTTCGTGTTAGCTCTAAGCTCCTCTTTATTGATGTATCTAATCATACTTTGTATGTTTCATCAATAAAGATTTTTTTTGCCGATCAAAAAAAAAAAACTATGTAGATTACAAAAATGGTTTGAAAAGATATTCCAAACTTTCAGCCAAATGGTTCAAGAATCTTCTAAAAAATGGAGACATATGATTGAAAATGTAATTCTCCAATAATTTTACATCCTACAAATGTATTAGTAAAATAAGTTAGATTCTTCTCTACACTTTGTAATGATCTCTAGCAACATTGTTTATGCTTTTAAACATAATTTAATGGTGATGCAAGAAAGAGATGTAACCGAAATAAATCAATAACAGTTATCAAAAAATCTCACAAACCAAAATTATCAAGAATAGACCAACTATTATTATTAGAATGCATATAGTGATCACGATCACAAATTTAGCTAATACTAAACACATTTGCCTTCAAAATAAAGAATATTCTCCAGTCTAGATAGACCAAGAGAAACCATTGTTCACTTTTTCAAGGATTCGTGCACGATTGCCATTTTCAAAGGTCACATTCTCATGACTTTCCTTGAAAAAGCCAAACAACTAAGGAGCACTAACAGGTCAGTTTGGCATTCTTAGGCATTTTGGTTTTGCCTATTAGTTAGTTTATGATTTTCTAAGTTTGAAATTTTCTTATGATCCAAAAAAATTTATTTAAGAAGAAAATTTAGTGTACTGAATAATTACTTGAACGAAGATGGTGCAATAATAAAATAATTCAATATTTCATGTGTGACATTATCCGTCAAGTGATGCTAAGGTTTTACTTGTTGTATTATCGATTACTTCTAAAAAATTGAGAATAGATTAAAAGAGTGTTGGGCTTAGATTACAAATTTTTACAGTTAAAAGTTGTTGGGATAATTTTTTTACAAATTTGAGCAACCTTGCTGTAGACTTGCCTTTTTCCGCACCCCCTTTCGGAAGGTTTGAAAAGAAGGCCTCACAGTTTGGACTTCCGCGATTCTGAATCTAGTCTCACAAGTGCAATGTGAAACTGATAAACAGTAAAGAGTCCAAATCCGACAAATCTTTTTGGAAAATCTATTTTAAATCAAATAATGCCAAAATTGGACAACTTTTCCAGATACAAAGTCACCACCTAAATAGTTTTTAATTTGGAAAAATTTAAAAAATCCTGACTTGTGCCAAAGGCTACGTGTCTGTTATCAGCAAAATTGCCTCGACTCGGGAACTTGGGCACGAAGGGGAAAAGTCATGAATTGAGCACCCCTTCTCGCCCGATCAAAAGATCATCCTTTACTAATCATGAAATGATTTTTATGTACATTACGTGATCACGTTCCGATTATTAGACTAGCTTTACTATGTGATATGCACAAGCAAGTATAGACTAGTTTGCTCAATTTGGAATAATTCAACTAATGTTTGTTTGTGAAAATAGTTTGAATTTGTCACTTTAAGTGGGCTTAAAAGTTGCAGATTTGCCACCAAACATAATGGACTTAAAACATGATTTACTACTCAACAAAGTAGGCTTAAAACGCACATTTGTTGAATCGTTCCAATTCAAACAAAGAGCTTTCATCTACCGGCATTCATGCAGTTTAGCATTTAAGTACATAGCCTCATGGTAAGCATGCTAATCATCGCAACATTGACATTCATGCGAGTATGCTAAAGCGTAAAACTCACCTAGTACTCCAAACTAGGAAAATATGAGTTAGTGAAATATACATGATTCCTAACTATACAAGATGCCTAATGCAACATATGCAATATACAATTAATAGACTCGGCTACTAATATAACATATGGCTTGATTTGAACAACATGTGATCGAACATATATTCAAATAAGTATATTGAAATGACAATACAGTTTGAATGATGCACCGAGCATCGGTGCATGCAATACAAATGAATGGATGCAAGCATAAGACATAAGGTATGCTAATCGAAATATGTCCATAATCTAACTATCGAAACCGATTAAATAAAAAAGAGAAAGATGTGGGGTTGGAAAACATATGCACACGCACGCACATTTATTACAACATTATGCCCTCGCGAATGAGGGTCCGAATAAATAAGAGCTAAGCTAATCTAATTAAGCTAATTAGACTAATTATTACAAATCAAATGAATAACTAGTTAAGCTAATCACTAATTATTACGAATAACTAGTTAAGCTAATCACTAATTATTACAACACTTTAACTAACTAGCAAACTAACTACTCCCTCTACTCCAAAATAATGGTCCCTTTTGGGAAATCTAACTTTTTTTGATAGTATAATTATTGCACTTTAAAAAAGTTATTTTTTCAAAATTATCCTTTTGATAGTACATTTTTTGGGAATACCAATGTCATAATTGTACTTTCATATTGTTTATTAATTTAAAAGAAGGGCAAAATAGGAAATTTATATTATTTTTGTATTTGATTTTTGAAGAGGGACTAATATTTTGGGATAATAAAAAATGGAATAAGGGACTAATATTTTGGGACAGAGGGAGTAATTAATTTACAACACAAATACGAGTAAACTAAGCAACTAACATTCCTAACTATGCTACCACTACTCCGCCTCGGGAAGTGGAAGATGCACATGCTCGGTTTTGGCCCGAAAAGACCTCCGTTTTGCTCTTGGAAGTCTTTGTTTGTAAGGTTGAGCATTTCTAGAGATTTTCTTCTTCACCTTACCAAATCTTTGCTGAGATTTCCATCAATGGCCTGCCGGCTATGGAGGGAAGCTGCCGGCCATCTGCTGGCCAAAGAGGTGTCCTGCCGGCCAGAAATGATACACTGCCGGCCATAATAGTGGTCTGCTGGCCACTGATGCATTGGATCACCATGCTGCAACAAAGTACAAACAGAGCAAAAAGAAGGTTTTTCCAAGGCTTTGTTTGTACTGTATCCCTCCTTATCATCTCAATATCTCAAAGAAGTGACACATTTAGATCCAAAAACCACCAATCAAACAAGTTCATTGCATGATGGCTAAAGATCCAAGTTGTACAATTTCGATAATTGCACAAATATGACCAACAAGATCACCACCCTATCATGCATGATCAAGGGCAATGGAGATCTAGGAAAGTGGCACATTTCATCACTTTCGAGTATGAAATGTCCCATTTTCTTTGTGTTCAAATTAATGTCCGATTTGAACACATACAATGCAACACAAAGACATGCTTATATCGTCACTTTTACTTGTCAATTTTGTTTACACATTTTAATTACCAAATCATTCTTTAATCAATTTGTCCATTGGTGAGTATCCTCTAAGATGAAGGAAATGTCAACCAAGGGATAATGTAAGGCAAGAGAGAGATCATGCCTTTGATAATGAACCCTAAAAAAGGATTAAACCATTGAGTATGATCTCAATCTCAAGCTTAAAGGATCCCAAGTTTGAAAAAACCCTAAAAAATAAGTGAAAGAATGAAGTAAATGGGGAGGTTGTAGAGATTTAGGTGCTGAAATTGAGTGATAAAAACACTAAAAACATGTAGCCAAGTCACACCAATGATGTTTAAAGCCTTAAAACAACAAGCTAGCGCAAGGATTTACACTACAACTACACAAAACAAAGTTCAAATGAACCAAACAGTCCAAAACAGAACTAAAGTAGGCTATTTCAGAGGCTAAAACATGCTGGACTTAAGCAAAGTTAAGCTAGAAAAACATGCTAACATGTAAGACTAACTAAGCATGCAAACAAGACACAAGGAGGGGAGGTTAACCCCTCCAATTTTGGACTTTAAAATGAGATTTTGTCACTAAAAAACCTCTGAAATTCAGTGGTTAAAAGGCCTAAAAAGGTTGGTTTGAAAATGATGGATAAAGACACAAAAGCTCTATAAACTAAGAAACAAGAAGGGTGAACCACCCCCTAACTAAAAAAGGGCTCAAACCACAATTTTTAAGCCACAAAAACAGAACT